AAAATAAATTGTGATTCACATTATGAAACGACAGTGATCCAGTTTCGAAGAAAATAACAATCAGACTATTATTGCTGTAGTTTAATTTTTATATAACCACTGCTTTAAAGAATGAATAATAATAATAATAATACCGTGAAAGTGTGCATTGACAAGCTGAGGTTATTGGATAAGTTTTCGTTGTTGTGGACATGGTGCCACGTAACGTTGTGTTCGTTTAATGGACAAAAGAAGTAAATTGAAACATTATATTCGGAATGTTTTTTAAGTTTAAATTATTGTCTTAATGAAAATATTCTGACCTTTTATTTCTTCTATTTGGACTGTATTACATACACACTGGGTATATTTCATAGTAGGCTTATCACATCATTGTATCGGAGTCATCACAATTTTATTAAAGTTTTGTGATAATAGTTTTGTTTAGTTATTTCATCTTAACAAGATCACATAAATAATGATCACACATAAATAATCCTTAAATGGGGCGAATCTTTTAAGATTTTTTTTTTTGGTTCAACAAAGAAAAATGTGCATAACTGTATCTATGAATAATGAATAGAGAGAAAAATGTAAACCAGATTGGTATATAAAGTCTTATCATATGATTTCAAGTGGGTAGTTGAAATTTTCCACTTAAGTGACATAGATACAACACAACATGGAATATATGATAAATATTGTTGATTTGCTGTTCTATTTGATTGATAGAAAATTATTTTGTAAATAATATTACATTATTTATCATGGGGATTCTATTTCAATCACTCCTAATGACTCATGAAAACTTTGGTCTTAACAAAAGGGTACCTCTGTGTTGGGGACGTTAGATCCATAGAACTCCATGAAAAAGGTCCTAATTTTGCATTTTATTCATGAGCTGATCAGCTGACCCTGAGATTACATTTCCCACCTTGAAAATCCTTGACTGTTATTGGTTGATGTATTATTTTAGTATGCTATTTCGATGTATAAATAAACTCGACTTTTTTGTGCTTGAAAACCTCATACTTTCTGGGTGCTTGTAGAATACACTTTCTTGGCCATATCAAGATTTTGGTTATCGTTGGCAGGGCCAGAGACAATCGAATCAGAATAGCCTATCGTTTCACTGCGTCATTTGTCTTCGCTCAGGTTTGCCGACTTAGGTGAACACGTTTTAGTTTCCAGCATATCAATTGATGAGTATAACACTCTGAAGACAATTTTAAATGTGACGATAAATTTCTAAGGTGTAAGAGATATATTATCACTACTGGAAATAAATGAGTACTTTACAGTGTTAATAATAAGTAATACTGCACAGAATAAGATCGATATGCTGTAGTCCACTTATATGGATGTTAGATGACCTGGTACACTCTGTATATAAATTTTATAAAAGCTTATTTTTAAGCTTGAAACTTCATTTACTCAGAAGAGTACATTTTAATGTCAATAATAAGTGTTGAGATTCTTTGATGCCATACTCATTATCGGGAAGTTGTTAGGCTACTAGTCCGTTTTATGCATTGACTGATATTGTTGAGTGTCAATATTTAAAATAATTTACAGTTGGATTCAAATCAGAAAACTCTTGGTTATCGAAATCGCGCATTCGTCACTGCTAAATGTACAACTACACACAATTAAGATATGACCATTAACACACACTATTCCTCAAACCCTAAAGAAATAATCATAGTCAAAAAAAGAATTAAAAGACATATTTAGGACGACAATGGAAGAGACAACAACACAGTCATACTTGTAAATGAAAATTGATTTTACTTTGTTGACTAACAGAAGACACTGACATAAACAAGCCATCAAACTCAAACTAACTAGAGATTATAAGCATTTGAATTCAGTAAATCAATGATACATATTGGATAGATCAAGTGTACAAACATCGACAAATATTAATCGATAGGTGTTCAATGTTATTGAATGAATTACCTGATATCTTATCAGTATATTATGTTTCATTCGGTAAAAATTCCTATCTTTTCATTGTGAAATGACAAATATCTTCTAATGGATTAGTAAATTTTCCAAATTATTATTATTATTATTAGACGACTTTAATTCATTTAAGCGTTATATTGTTATCAGGTATTACTGACCTTGAGCATATCATGTGATCAACTTACGTTAAATTGAGTCAAGTTTAATCTTAAGTAACTATATAAACTGCAAAAACTATTCAGAAAATGGAATGAGAGAAAAGGAGAAAGAGAGAGAAAAAAAATCCAAAACTCATGATAGACAGCAAATATTTCGCAGGTGAATTAAAGGGGAAGTTGAAATTATTACTTTATGACCAGTTGTTATGGTAACATACCTATCTAGTTTTATATTACTATGCCCTATTAGTTAGGGATTTATTCTACTTAAAGATTCTGGAAATAATCATATACATCAAATTATGATATGGATTTTTTGATATGGATATGATGACCAGATCAGAAAAAGATAAGAAAAAATTATTTTCTTGTATTAGAAAATAATCAATTCGTCAAAATTATTATTATTATTATTATACAGGTTCTCAACTTACCAATAATTATTTGACAAATTTAATAAGTGTTCAGTATATTATTATACTAACGTTAATACTGTTTAACAATAATGTGATCAGATGATCAAGCGATTGTGACGAAACCTGCAAGTTCTGGGTTGTATCCTTAATAAGGAGTCGTTAATGAGAAGTGTTGAAGTGAATTCCATACTAGGCGAAAATAGCTAGTCAGAGATTTCTGATTTTTAATAGTTGTCTAATTAACATCGGCTCGTGATGACAACAAAAGAATTCAGTAATCTCCATAAACTTTGCTTCCATATACTAGTAGTTATTATTTGTTCATCGGTGACTTCTTTCAAAACATAGTTCGTAGAGTTCTAATAAGGAGCCTTCATCTAAAGTTAGAAATGTATGTCATTGACTGATCATTCACCAAGAGACTAGAAAAGCTTGGGTTAAATATTCAGTAGGCCGCTAGTTGCACATAATATAGAGGAGGTGTATATCACGATGAAACGGGTGCTCCTTGGAATGCAGTGGTACCCAAACTGAAACCAATCAATGTACTAGTAACAACCATAGTTGTATTTACCCATTATCCTGATTTTCAGACGTTCGTATGACCACCTTACAACTACAAATGAACATTATCATTCAGACTAAAATTTTTAATAACGATCACTATTGATATATATATATATATATATATATATATATATATATATATATATATTTCTTCTCAGGTTTGAAACCCACAATTAACAGCTTTCTTACTTTCGGATGAGTGATCCATATGTTTGTTTGTAATAGATTTCCATCACGATATCTACTTTTTCGAACTTGAAAAGTCAAAAAGAGCAAATTAGTTGTCGTGTATTTTTTAGGAGGGTTTCTCATTCAATTATTTCTCTCAGCAGAATTGTCCTTAAATTGAAAAATTTAGTCTTTATCTATTTCTGTGTATATATTTAAGGAAAAAAAAATAGTTAACAATCGATTAATTAATTGGAAATAATCACTGAATATGATCATTTATACCCCCACCCTTCCTTGTGCAACGTAAAGTAAACATTAAATAAATAGTGTAAAAACCAATTCAATAGGAAGAGAAAATAACAGAGATTAGGTGTAACTTTACAGTGTAAAAGAAAAAAAACTCTTTGTTTTAATCCCATTTTAAATGAATTAGTTTGATAAAATCGGAAAACCAAAGTTGATTGAAGTAAAATTTAATGTAAAAGTACAAAAATGATATATATATATATATATATATTTTAAATGGGGCAAACTTAAATACACTGATTTAAAAACAACCTAAAAACAAAAGTATGTCATGTATGACAAACGAATAAATATTTATACTCAGTGTATGAAAAGTAAAACAATTCAACAATAACTTTATTTCAATATGGTGGTTATTTATTAACGAGTACAATTTTGTATAGGTCAGAATATATATAGTCGTCTATAGTTATTGAGTTTTTCGGAAAACATTAAGTTTCGATTTTTATTTGTGATACATAATGTACGTTTACTTTTAATGATGTGTTCTATTCAATTGAATAAGTTGAAAAAGCTTCCATTATGATAGAGCTTAGGGAAGTTATCTAAATTGAGTTTGTGATTTTTGAAACTTTAACTGATCAGTCCTTATTTCATACCCAATATTTACGCTATAAACATTTAATGCCTTATATAATCCGCTGGGAAAATGAGCCTGAATAGCCACTAACTTGTTGATAATAAATGAAGATATTGATGTACGGGAATGTAAGTGTTTGAGTTTTGCTGTTGTTAATCTTAAGGATTGTATTAGGTTAGTCTTTATTTACATATGCACATGCATGCTGAGTGGATTACTTCACTACTGTCTAAAGGTAGGTGTCTTAGCAGAGTTGGATAATGCAAAAGGTACTAAGTTCAATTCTCAATGTGAACATCAATGGCGGGATGCAGATATATGTAGCTAATGAATCCTCAATAGAACGAAATGCACGATCTGAATCCCACTGATACGTAAAATCTAACTTTACTAAAATCTGTATTTAAAGGAAATATTCAGACAGTTCAAAGCTTCAAATGCACATATGTCCATAGCGATTGATCAATTCTAGTAATTAACACCAATAGGGAGAAAACTCGATTTCCTGCATTTTTTAAATTTCAAATTCAACTGTACTATTGAAGACGATACAGACCAACTTAACACTTCCAGTTTAAACCAAAAAAATTTCACAACTCGTTAGTTTTGGATTCGAAGATAAAATATTACAAATAAATTGAAAAAAAAGTAAATATTAATTCAAAGAAATATTCAAGTGTTAAATCAAAACCTTTTTTTGTAGCAAACATGTACATCTTTTCTATAACTAAACGACAAAAGATGTGAAGTTATGAAACAACAGAAAGTCGACATCTTAAGTGTTTTCGAAATCTTAAAAAAAAATAGCAACATATTTCTAGGTCACCCACATAAATACATCATGTGCATACCTACCTGACTGTGAATTCACCGATGAGGGTACCCGCATCTTTCCATTTGAATTTACCGATTTCTTTGTTAAATTATGACTGCCTAATTTCGTATCAACATCATTTTCGTAATTATCAGTCGGTGTAGTTTTGACGGCTGAGGAGGGTGAGACTGAAGCTGGGGATTTTAATGACGATGATATTGTCGTAGTGGTTACTGGAACAAACAACGAAGAGGGCTTTGATTTAATTTTAAGATTATCACCAATAAAATAACCGTTAGCATTGTAGTTTAAACCATTCGACGATATAGAAGTATATGATTGTATTAGAGATTTAACAATTGAGTTGGATGGTGGTGAGGATGTTGTTGTTAGTCCTTGCATTGTGATCATTGTTGTTTGAATGGAGGAACATGCGTCGCTAGTCTTTATTTCTGAACTATCTATAAAGTTTATCGATGACGATGAAGATGATGCGGCTGTATTATTACCTTCATTACTTTTACTGTACAGTTGAAGGTGATTGGATGGTGTTAACGAAGTTTGTGATACACAAGTTGGAGTCACTGTCTTTTTATTCATCAAAACTAATGATGCCGATGGTGATGATGATGGAGAAGAAGAAGAAGCAGGCGAAGAAACTGTCGATGGAGTTAGCATTGAAAAGGATGCATTCGAAGTTGTATTCACGGTGACTGCTGATGGTGTTGTTGTGGTTGTCGTTGTTATTGTTACTGACGTTGGTGAAGCAGATGATGTTATTAATCCTAACGAAGATGGTGCTCTTAAGTGTTTATAATTTAGCCTTACTAAATTATCAAGAGTATCTGTAGAAAATTGTCGATCATTAGTGTTAAGTGGTGTTTCAAAGTTTGCAGAAGTGTTAAAATCTTTTTGTTTATTACTACGTGCAGGTAATGGAAGAACATTGACTGACCCTGGTAAACGTGAAGCACGACGTGGTGGACGTGGTAAATTATCATAAAGATTTGATACGTTCACCGGTTCTTGATCATTTTTAGGCTAGAAAAAAAAGCAGTCGTACGAAACAATATAATCACTTGTTAATTGTTAAATATATTCAAAAATCAAAATCATTACAAATGTATCACTAATACAATGAAGTAATATAAAAGAAACGATACAAAAAATAAATAATGTACACAAAAATTATATAAACATTGATTTGTAAGGGTTTTTAATATCCTTTTTTTTCTGTTAAACTTTGCAAATGATCTGTTTCTACTAGAGTATCTCCATAATGATAATTAATTTCAAGTTATTAATGAAATTGGTAAATAGTAAATTTTTTCTGCTTGGCAATCGTCCATTGGATGTGTCAGAAAGAAAAGATACGAAGTTCAAATCCCATTGGGAACGTCAGCACTGGGAATTAGATGCATTCAGCTGAAATTCTGAATAAGACAAAACATTTACTTTCAATTCTATCGCTAGTCATCTTAATAGCGATTGAAAAAGTAGGAAAAAATAAATCCATGTTACTGGCTGTTTAATAACTTGCTCTAAATATAATATGATGATAGACTAGACTAATTATGACTGAAAGTTCAACCAAAGACTTGCGTGTCATTTTATTCGTGACTTGTCAGGAAAGTATCTCAGTGTTCAGTAATAATCTTTTTTAAATCAGATAGTTAAGGCAAATGAAACATGAATCCATGTGTATGATAATTAAATTCTGCTAACAACTAATAATAAAAACGTGTGACAAGACAGTTGTATTTAGTCAGTTCCCTCAGAATATGCATATACACCAATGTGAACTGATCAAAATTCATTACTAAATATCGATAACAAGGATCTGTAATAAATAGTACTGAGTTATTTTATTGCAGCAATTCGATGCTCAATGAAGTGGTCACTTGCATAAAAATAATGCCTAGACAGTCTCGAGACAGAAGAAGTAATGATAAATCAAAAGACAGAAGCCCTTAATACCTTTAAGGTGACTTCGTTATTATTAATATTATTAGTATGCTTACAAGGCATCGATATACTAGATTTTAATACAAATTATCAAATGTAGAGCATATTTAACTATATCACTTTTTGTTTTTAGAAAATAATAACACGATAATCGATCCCGGACAGACAAAATACCATAAATGTGAACTAGTTTTTACATTCATTAAATCGGCGTTCAATAAAATTTTCAAATAATTAGACAAGGCATCATCGCTGATTAGCAGATATAGTTCATCTTGTGATTAATATTATAAGGAACAGCAATAACGAATTTTGATATAAGGATATTCTCAACAATCGTAAGATTCTAATAATTTAAATCACTAAAGGGTCTCAGCTAGTCCGCTTATAAAAACCTGGAAGCAACAGATAGCCTTCTCGTCTTAGTATGAGATTCCTCGACAGCGCGCACCTGGTAATCAAACACAAGACCTTCAGTTTAAACTATGCATAGTGTCCATAAATCTTATACTAATAATAATTTAGAGCTCACTAGTGATTTGATTCAAGATGCAACCCCTGGAGTTCCAGGGTGAAATCGTGACCAGTGGATGTCGGATGTGAGACATTTATACGCCTTAGGTAATGGAAGCTTGGTAAGCAATAACGAAAATTAATTACAACTAAACATGTACATTAGTGGATTTCTGCTCAGTGGTCTGAAAGTTCAGCAAACGACCTGAAGGCCGAACGTCCTAGGTTCCGTTCCGAGATGCGCAGCCGAAAGAGTCCAGTACTAGGACTTCAACCGTTATCCAGTGCTTCCAGGTTTCCAATAGGATCAGTTCGTGATCTAAACTATAAAAACACCGGATTTTATTAAGTAATTTCTCCAGTTATTGTTGTTTGACTACAGATTATTGATCTTAAGTTAGTTGACCTTGTAGTCATGATGGATCATACTCATTAATTTCTTTGTTAGTTTGTACAGTTTAGAAATAGGTGAGTACACAGAAACCAGCGAATATTTCCACTTTCAATGAATATGGGCTACATGTACACAGAAACTAGTAAAGAGTAACACCTGTATTACTTAACAGGTCACATTTCCGACAACTTTACGCTGCTTTGCACTTCAACTATTTTAAATAATTTTAAACATGACCGTTTTCAGAAAAAACCGTTTGTATATTCAACTGACGTTTGTATCATGAAAAAATAAGATCAAAAGATCGCAGAATATATTTGGCTTCAATCATCGGGAAATAAGTAAGTAGCTAGGAAGAAAAAACAAAAAAGATCCTCTGATAATCTAGAAACTGCCAGTGAAGACAGAAAGCAACAGAAAGCTTGAATGACAAATAAGGACAAGGAAATTCTTGTAAAACGCTACACACACAAACAAGGTTACCAGGAAGAACTGATTTACCGCTTACGAAATAACTAAGGAGGTTACTTCCAAGTAAAGTAAGCGCCCATGAAGTTGTTCAGAATGATATTCGAAGCTTCATAAATACACCAGTATGTAACTCAATGAACTCAATTAAAAAAAATTCAATGTCCTCTACAATGAATAAATAAGCATAATAACAGTTGTGGATATTAAAATATACATGGAAATAAGCAACAAACACCAACTTACTACTAAAGCTGCTTTACATAAAGTTGCTTTAAATATTTCTTTTTTATCATTGGTACTACTAGATGGAATTACATTTGAATCAACATCGTCCGATGGTTCCGGAGTGGCTTTTGGAGGAAGGCACTCTGACAGGCCACCGCTACCGCTATTATTATTACTATTTCCACTACCGACATTTGTAGAATTGGAACTGGATCGTAGCATGGTAGATTCGCTTGGTAATTTTGTGCGTTTTGATGTTGTACGTGGTAATGTTCCATGAATACTACTCTCTAACTGATCATTATCCAAATTAGTATTTGTAGTAGCCAATGATTCGCCTGTTTTGATATGATGATTAATATTATTACTATCAGTGTGATTGTTAGTATTGTTGTTGGCGTGCAACTCCAAATTACTCGATGTTAATTGACTACGTTTAGTACGTTGTTTCGCCTCCAATGCTAATTGTCGTATTTGTGTAACTAATACATCAACCGGTTGACCATTTGGTGGACTACATCTAAAAAAAAATTTACCATCACCAGTGGAACATCTTCGACCAGCATCAACACGTAGCACACCGTTGGATGCACCAAATCTACAAAATATACAAATCGATGATGATTGTTCAGTATGAGCTATGAATTGAAAATAAGCGAAATGTTTTGAAACATTCTACTGAGTATGATATATATAAATATATACATATGTATGTTTATATATAAGCCGTTATCAGCGGAGTTCAACCGTGTCGGATGTAGGCAGTTACCTACCAAAGACGATGGTTGAGGTTGCACAATACCTTGAGATCGTTAAAATTAGACACCTATACCGTTAGATACTGGCTCAATGGTCTGGAGAGTAAGCGTTCGCGTGCGAGACCGATGGTCTCAGGTTTGAGTCCGACGACTAGATGCTCAATGCTGATGAGTAAGGAACGGTCGCTTAGTGCTTCCATGTTTCTAATGGTGGTCTAACATTGATCGATTCACAATTACAATGTAACTCAATAATTTCCATTACTCTATAATGAAAATAGTAAATGAATATAAGTCGAAAAGGAACTGTATTATCAAATGACCCTATCAAAGTAGGTAAGAATAAAGTTTTGAATTCATAAAAATTATTCTAACTTGTCAGATCCATATTCAATAATATTAGGAGAAGAAATCATGGAAATATCATAACTAAGTAATAGAACAAAGTGTTTGCATACTTTTATCAATATCACCAGAGTAAATATTTTTTTTAAAATTAGAAATAAATTTCTAAGATTGGCAGTCACTAATGAGAAGAATTAGTAGTCAAGTGATCATTAAAATCAATTAATCAGATATAAAACTGTTAAACAATCAGGAACTAAGGAAGACAAACAAAAAAAAACATGGTTGATGCCTCTTCAAATAAGTGAAAATATTAACTATGCAAATAAGCGATTGGTGCATTTGAATTATTTTTTTAAATGGACGTTTCAATTGATGTATCAATCAATCAGACTACAATACAATACAAATATGACTGAATCGATCAAATAATTATTATTACACATAATTAATAAGGTATCAAATGTTTTTTAAACTAATTAATTTTAAAATTATGAATCGACCAATGTTTTAAACCATTGCTAGAAAACTGAAAGCACTGGACGACCATTTCGTCCTAATATGGGACTTATCAACAGTGCGTATGAACGAATCCACCTACTCGTCCAGTGATTCCAGGTTTCAAACACATGGTCTAACAATGATTGATTCATGAATTCAATGAGACTCAACAATCTCCATAACCTTATAAAGTAAGTTAATTTTGTTTAAGATTTCAAGACCTGATGGCCGTAAAGAATATTAAGCTAAATTTCAATCATTTGTGAAGTGTATTATCCAGTATGCAATAAAATTATCATCAAAAATCCTAGGTAAAACAAATATTATTATTGATAAAAAATATTTTAGTAAAAACACTTCTCAACTAAAATACATATCAAAAAAACATCAGCAAAACAAATTTACTGTTGAAAAAAACCGCTTAACAAGATTTAACTTAAAATGCACATAGAACTTTTGCCGAAAACTTGTCATATAATTTATGAAATTATTACAAGGAATCGCATTCAGTATCAAATGTGAAATAGACGATTGTAGAATAATTGAATATTTCATACATTTTAAAACACCTAGATTTATAATTTACTAACAAGTAAGTAATTTGAAGACACTCTAATCGTAGCTGCTACCTTGACGTGATGGTCGGATTTGCCTATCGTAATGACTCAACCGAGCCATACCGGCTGGAACGTATGTTCTACCATACCAGGCAGGTTGATCGAAGAACGATAAAACTAATAGCAGCATCTCCTAATATATCTCTTATCTCCACGACCAAACCTTCTTTCGATCGCTTGCCACCTTGCGCCGCTGAAACAAACGGCTTGAGCTCACGAAACGCCATTCCTGATCTCTTGAAATCCCTCTCCAAACTACATATTGCAGCTTTCAATGCTCGAACCTTGTGCCAAATAGGTCAACAGGCTCCATTAGCTAGAACTATGTAAACTCGTGCAATCGATGTATGTTGAGTATCCGAAAAGCGCACACAGGACCCTAGTATGATAATAAATTTGTTTGACCTTGTGCGGATAGAGAAACGATATGCTTTGTGTTTCTAGAAGCCCTGATGCTGCTTCCAGTAGCCTTGCTGGCGTAGGTATAGTATTAAGTCCTAGGGCAGAACTATTTCTCCATGACTAGCGCTTCTCATATCGCTTTATCACCTCGCACCACTAACTGAAATTGAAGATAAACTGTAGATGAAATTAACCAGAAGTAAGCAAACGAGTAAAACTATACATTTAAGTTTTTACATCATAACAACACAGACAAGTGAAGTTACCAGTATCAATGTCCGCGTAGTAGAATCAGAAACAAATATCAATGCTAGAAAATATTACTTACAAATAATACGATTGAAAAAGAAACAATGAATTTGTGAGATATAATTTGGCTTTAAAACCCGATCTACAACTAATCGTTAAGGCAATCGTGTCAACCCAAACTTATTAGTCTGAACATACCAATAGGGTTCAATTCAATGGTCAGTGATTTTCGCTCTGTAGTAATCAAGCAACCAGACTTCGAGACAGACATTTAGAGTTTAACTGACCCTCAGTAGTACTGCGATATTTACAACTGACTAACAAACAAGCATTGATCAATGTTTAATTTGATTAGTTATTTATGGATGATTGAATTCTCTCGACCAATTTTGAATTTAGCATATAAAGAGCTAGGTGATACAAGTTCAAATCCCACAGGGAGCATCAGTTTCTTGAAGATTGTAGATATTCTTAATTAATGAGGACCAGCTAACATTAAACCTAGGTCAAGAAACATTTTCTGACGACTTTCGAGCATTTCGATGTAGTGCAAGCAATGTCAAGTCCATCAAACTAACGGAATTCCATAAGCAGTATTAATGGACTTAATAAACATAATTTTGACCTTCACTCAGTGACCACTCAATTATAGACAATGGAACTTCTATGAGATTTTAAGAAATCACAGAAATTATTCATCAATGGAGGTCATTATTTATGAACAGATAAGTATAAATATTATTTTTTTAAAAAAAAAAAACATGATAAAACATTAAACACATTGAATTTTCAAACTTTTATGATATGTAAAAGTTTTGAAATAAAACTTAATCAACAAATCAACGGAGAAATTCACTTACCAATTAGTAAAAGAAAAAAAATCTGAGGTGTTCACTTTTTTTTTTTCATGTACTAGCTACCTATACATAATCAACATGTGTTAGTTAAGCAAACTTCGAATACTTGGTACTTATTTAAACTTTGTACTAAGTTGATTATTATTTCTAATATTATTGGTAAAGTTAACACATTTTATTATTTTTGTATAACTAAGACATAAAATAAATTCAAGTTGGACTATTTCTATGGTTTGAATATCAAGTCGAAGTTGAATACTTTTTTTGTTTACTATATGGTAGGTAATGCATATATATATATATAAATGGAAAATGTGACACACCATAATACAAACAGAAGATTTATTTGTAGTAAATTTCGTTACAAAGACATTAAGTATGACTGATGCTGTGATTATGGCCTAGTTTACTAAGGATAAATAGATGTATTTATTCTATGATTTGTACAATTGTATTTTGTATGCTTTTAAAATGTAGACGTAAAACACAAAAGAGAGAGGGAGAGTGGAGAAAAAGACAACTTGCACTAGACTATTGATAACTTCAATTTTGAATCATGTATTAAGTACCTTTTAACTTGCACAAGCAAAGATGGGCTAAAGATGGAAAATAAATACAGGTTTCTATCATTTTGTGAAGCGATTTTACGAATCTAACGTCATTCTAATTCTGTTAGCCAAATCCATGATCAGTACTTGATTTAGATTACCAGTGGAAATATATCTCTAGAAATTATCCTACACTAATAACAATAACAATGTACTTGTAAGCAATCAATTTCAAGAGGCATTTCTTAGAGTTCTAGTAAGAAGCTGTGACCAACACAGTTCGAAGACAGTCTAGGTGAGACATTTACCCATTATTAAAACAAGATCATGACTGTGTAACATGATGAATTGTTTAAAGCAAGAAATGTTAACCACTGTTGGTTGACTTACAGACTCAAAGATTAAACACTTTCTGCAATACATAAAAGCCTGGAGCTTAATTCCTAGTAGCAGATACATGGATGTGTATTGCTGTGTCTCATGTTAGGATGAAACAGACAACCAGCTATTTCCAGTTTTCAATGATTTTCTTACCAAGGTCAAAATGGGATTTAAACGCATTGAACAAATAATACAAACTTATTGCCTCATTTTTATATCAACTATATATAACTATTATTACTAAAGTTGATTGATCAAGTAGTATATAAATTTTCTTCTAGAATACGGATATAATTCTAAATTACAGTCCCTTGAAAATCTTTTCAATAAACTGACGAGTGTGTGGTCAGTGAAAGTAAATATGATTGGTCATTATGCATGAAATGACTGACAGATTACTACTGACCTTATTTATTTGTGATTTCCTTTCTTATAGTCAGTTTTTTTCCAGACTCATCGAGTTTAGGTTGCCTGTAATTACATTAAATAAAATTTACTTAGTCTACAAAACTCTGATTCTCCATAGTTGATCGTCAGTCATTTATCTGGCATAATATGATCTCAGCATATCGGATAAAGTTTGCAGTCTAGTGATAGCATAATCTCAGTCATCAGTTCTATTAACTTATCATAGTATTCAAACGTGATAGACGCGGATATATTTCTGTTTCTGCATTTTAGCACAAACTCTATACACCTATTTACTAAAATTAAAGTTATGTTTTAATTAGAAAGTGTAAAAAGTATAAAAAAGAATAACAAATAACACACTAAAACACAATATAATACAATAATCCAACTGACCAATGTACACAAAGGTAGGAGCGCAAAGATTACAAGTGCACATAGTAAATATATCATCTTGGAATGATGTCGAAGTAACAACAAATAGGTTTTAAATTTCATTCGGAAAAAATAAAATAAATAAAATTAATTGGAC